GAAGTCTTGACATGAATGTTTGTATTTTAGGTGGCATGGGTAAGTACATAGCTTAAAGCTATGGAAAGAAAATCTGTTAAAACGTTGGATTGCAAAGCAAAATGATTGAGAAGTAGGAAATACCAGTATGGTTGGTGAGGCAAGCACAGCTATGTCTCCTGGTACAGCATTTCTCAAGAATATTTGTAATTTTTCCAGCTGTTCTCAAGTTGCAGAATGTGATATGATGCTGGTGGAGTTACTGGAAGATGGAAAGGAAATTTTTCTTGTCAGCATTGACTGGGACAAAAGCATCTTGGGGAGCAGAGCAGTGCAGAGAGCAGAAACAGCCCATAGTTTGAGGCAGTAATTTACTTCTTGGCAAGGGCCACGGGAGGCAGCGATGTGTAGCTGAGTAGTGGCTGGCCTCAGTGACTTCTGTCAGTTTAGCCTGCCTTGCCTGTGGCTGCCTCAGTGTTACTCTGTCCCCTGGCCCTACCTCAGCAATCTGCTGGGTGTATCCCCCTGTTCTGCTGTCATTGAGCCTTCGGCAACGTGCTCTTCCTTCTCTGCTATGCATTCTTTGCAAAAGTCCCATGGAAAAGAATTTGGTCAGGTAACCGTGATGCTTGGGCCAGCAGTTGCATGATAAACTTCTGTAGCTTTGTTGTGGTTTAACCCCAGCCAGCGACTTAGCACCACAGAGCTTCTCACTCGCCTCCTCCCTCCCCCAGTGGGATGGGGGAGAGAATTGAAGGAAAAGGTAAAGAAACTCATGGGTTGAGATAAGAACAGTTTAATACTTGAAAATAAATGAAATAAAATAATGCTGCTGCTACTACTACTAGTACTATTTTTAGTAGTATTTTCATTACGTATGAATTAATTCTTTCATTATATTAATATGTAATGAAAAGGGGAACAACAATGGAAAAAAACCAAAACACAACTGCTTACCACCTGCAGACTGATGCCCAGCCGGTCCCCAAACAGTGAGAACCAGAGCCTGAGACCCCTGAGAGCCAGACCCCCCAGTCAACTCACCCCCCCCGACTTGCATACCGAGCATGACTTTGGTCCATTTGGGTCAGCTGTCCTGGCTGTGTCCCCTCCCAGCCTCTTGCAGAGAAGAAAGTGTGAGAAACTGAAAAAGTACTTGGTTAATGTAAACATTGCTTGGCAACAACTAAAAACATGAGTGCGATGTCAACATTCTTCTCAGCACAAATCCAAAACATGGCCTCAGACTAGCTACTGCCAGGAGAATTAACTGTCCCAACCAAAACCAGCACAAGCTTGCATGTCCTATGCTAAGATTTGGCTTTGTAGCGAGTTTCGGATTTGCGGGTGTAGTGTTTGGGGTGTAACTTAAGACTTTTCAAAGGAGGGGATAAAAAGTAAATACCTTGTTAACTGTAATACCCAACTTTGCTACAGGGAACATAATGGGTATCATCATTGCTTGCATTTGACCACTCAAGTGTTAGTTACACTGTAGATCTAAGTATGATACCAGATGGAATTGGAAAGCTGTTATAAAACAGAGAAGCATTTTTGCTGTATGTGAGGAGGACAGGAGGCTCTCCTGTTTGGTTTTTATTGCTTGCAGGATCCCACTGCCACAGAGGGTATGGTCGCTTAGCACTCTGGTCCGGGTGGGGGAAGCAATGCTACAGGGGGTTCGTTGCCTACTCCTGGTAACGTTTAACCAAGTGAAAGCTGCTGAGACCTCTGAACGGTGTTAGGAAATTCAAATGTAGGAGTTGCATTCAACCGCTTCTTTAACATCTATGTTCATATTTAATACATTGAGACAGATCACATTTACACAAAGGATAAGGTTTTTAAAATGCAAATTAAAAATGAGCTGTCAAACAGAACAATTTGGCAGAGATTAAAGTAGCAGTGAACTCAGTCATATGTAGCAGAAGAAAATCTATCCTTTAAGTATTTGATTATATATAAACCTGAAAAATTGGTAGTGTGTAGCTGTGAAGATGTGTTCGATATTCCAATCCCGTATCTCTCCCCGCTCTTGGAAGTTGTGAGTTTCCATAGGCAGGGATAGGCGTATCTCTTTGTGCAGCGTCTCCTGCTGGGGCAGTCCGTGGTTGGATGGGAGACGGAACGCCCGTGGGATGTTTGGAGGAGGTGCCCTCCCGCAGCCGTGTCTGGGATCACCGCACCCCGTTCCCTCTCCCAAGGCGGTGCTGGGAGCGCAGCAGGTCCAGTGCAGCCACCGCCCCTCACTGTCTGTCAGAGCAGGTCAAAGCCTGCAATAGTCTTTTTTTCCCCCCTCTGAGTTTTACAGTGTGTAATTATATTTTATCATTCATCTAAATTTTACTTTTTCAATTATATTTAAGTCCATAGATTGAAAGATTAAATTTTGTCTTCCTTTAAAGTTTCTGTAGTGATAAAATGTAGATTGATTAGCAGGGAACAACTCTTCATCAGTACAAATCTGTACTGCTTGTGAAATTGTTGTGCCTGTCAGTGATACATATACGGAGCGTTCAGTTTGTGCAGAGTCACTTGTAAGCCTTACTGCGTTCAGCGTGCTTGTGATACTGGCTGCGAGTGATATGTGGTGGAAGTGTCTTTGCAGAACATGTCCAACTCAGGAGCAGCCTTTTCCTGTTGCAAGAGCAGGTCTCTGGCTACAAGAGAGTGTTCTAAGATGTTTTTTGCAGGGCTTGCTGCTGTTGCATACCTCAGGCTTTGTTGGTGCCTGTCGTGGCAGTCAACTTCTTGAGCTGCTTAAAGCAAGCTGTCCTGGGTTGTGTTCTTTACCTGTTTGGAACAAACCCAATTTGAAAGTCGTCTCGACATTCCTACCTCTGAAGAGCAGGGTAAATTCTCTTGAAGAAGCTTAGAGGAATTACATTAAATTTAATTCTCAAGATTTTGGAATTCTTGCAGAGTTTTGGTTTTTCCAAGTTCTCAAGTGATGGAAATTTTTTTTGTAACGTCTTAGTAATCTTGACAGCTTTCTGTCCCTGGGAGTAAATCCAGGGATCATCATCACCTCTCTCAAGTAATATTTTGTCCATTCATACAGCCGACAGAGCCAAGATAGTGGAAGGACACGGACCAAGCTAACTATGGAGGAGCTGAAGGCGTTTGTGCAGCAGTTGTTCAGCCTGCCCTGTGTTATCAGCCAGGCCCGGCAAGTAAAGGTGAGTTTGCATCTGCTCTGCAGACGTATCATGGGTCGTGCTTTTTGCCTTGTTCTGGCTTTTGTGTTTTGGGTGGGTTTTTTTTGTTGTTTTAACCAGATAAGACTGCCTGATGTAAAGGATGAAAGGCTTTTTTTCTTTTCCTAAAGAAGCCGTTCTCCACAGGCAGAGATGGATTGAATTGGGGTGTTTCATTTCTAGTTTCTAATCTAACTGCTTTGCAATATCATCTGTGGCCTCAAGAAAGATAGATACTCTGGAGACATCTAGTTCAGCATCTCCCTGCTTTACGGGGCAATCTTGCTGCTATCATTGAAGTTCTGCTGATGAGATGTTGCTGTCTGTCCAGAATGGAATGGTAGAACGTGTTTCCTGCTCGTTTGCAAGCATGTCTCTAAGTGGGCAATGATGGCAATTGTGCTTTTATGCTAATGTAGTCATCGCAGTCGAATACATAGAGCTCAGTTTGGTAGCCTGAGCATGGATGGCTACCTGGTGACCTGTGAGGTGCTCCTGGCCTCCATTGCCATGCTGGAAGACCACCTTCGCTCTCTCGCAAGGCAGTACCAGCCAGTGTGGGGTTACTGCATGTGGCAGTTAGCGTTCAGGGAACCAAACAGAGCTCTTTACTTAGCTGTGCAGTTTTAAGGTGAGTGTTGCAGTGGGCATGGTCAGATGTGGTGGTCTCATTAGCTAAATCAAGATAAAAGATCCTCCCCACCCTGTCACTGCCCAGGTGGCCCAGTTTCAGCTCTCTGAACCAGTTACTCTTATTCCAGCATCTTTAGTGCTGTCTATAGTGATGGAATTTCCAGATAAATCCTACCCTTCATATGTTTTGGTAGAAACTTCTGAGGGTTATGTTGGTGTGCTGCTTCTGGGGAGAGGGAAAGCAGTTCCACATTGGCAGTTGTTCAGAAAATACTTCTCAGCCTTGCTTTCCAAGTTACAGCCCCCTTAATCTGTATGCATGGCCTGTATTTCTTGTCCTTCATATATATCTTTGCACCTGTCTTTGGAGGAATCTAGACTAATAAGTAATCCAGATCATACTGATTCCCCTGGCTGCTATTACCGTTTATCACTCTGGCAGTCTGTATCATAGCAAGTGTTTTCAGCAGTAATCTAAATTTGTTTCTGTGTCACTGATGATGAAATGTTAAATAGTGTTTTGCCTACTAACCAACTTCTGGAAAACTCCTTCAAGAAACATCCTTTACAAATACAAGATTTTTCACCTTGAGGAATGGTTCTTGAGATGCGTGTTAACCATTTATTAACCCACCTATTCTCAGTTGATACTGTTTTAAGAAGAATGTTCTGTAGTGTTAGATTGAGGTCCTAAAATTCTAATCAGTTTACAGGGAACTGA